CGGGATGTGAAGAGACTTTCAACCAGCATAACAAAAAATGTTTCTGAAGACAATCACCTATTGCACCTTTAATTTTACATGGCTTTCTAAACATGCCGCTCTCTTTTGCGAGACGCGAGTGCAACACTGATAGATGCCCCGCTAGAAAATGTGATAAATATGTGTTCTGTGTGAACGGCTTGGTTTCAGTTTCGCCGTAAACAACATATTCGCCACACTGATGCTCTCGTTTTCCGCTGTATATTGAATGAACAACATAGTAGCGCCGCATCTAGTGGGTTCAACTGGATAGGCTAACAAAAGCATTAAAATGCAATGACACTTACGTTGTCGTCGCATTTCGTGTGCCACTGATAAGGCTGCCTGACGACTGACGCAGACCTAAAATTCGAATGCAACGTTTTTGCATTCGAATGTGGATTTTTTTTTTTTTTGACAAATATTCAAAAATCGATATTTTTTGACAGCCCTAGTTGGTTCTGTACCTGAAAATAAGAATGAGGGTTGCAAAACTACAGTTGGCTGTAGGCCACATAAGAGAAATGCTGAGCAATTTTTATTTTAGTTATACAGGCCATATGTGGCATCTTAGCAACTTTTAACTTATTAAGTTGAATTAAATTAAGTCTGTTTGGGTGAATAGACAGTTTTGGATTATTATAGCACTGAAGCACAAGGCCATAAAATCTTTTTTGTGGCCTCAGCAGACGCTTTGGAATAATAACCATTTGTTTGTTGGAATAATATCCAGAAATTCAGGAACCCTGGATACAATGCAGATATTTTTAGTTCGATGGATGCAGTCACTGTTGCTCTTGGACGTCTCATGTTTCCTGTCTTGAAGCATTGCTGACTTTCTGAGTTGCTGTAGCTGTCTGCGGTCTGTTCCGTCTAAGAATCTGCTTCAGCTCACAGATGTTGGGCTTTTTGGTGAGGGCATTGCTGAAACATTCATATTTTTATAACAGCACTGCACTGGCTCAAGCAAATGTCTGTCAGATGTGTGTCTGTCCTACTTTACCCATGTGCTCGCCGGCTTCAGCAGATGATGTAAAGGTCAGGTAAATTAAAAGGACCTAAATAAAAGGTAAATGTAAATTGTGTTTAAAGCTTCATTGTTTACCCCAAAGTTTGTAACTGTTACCCAGTTGGATCTAATTCATGACCTCAGTGTTTGGAACACAGCAAGGCATAGGAAGACAACCATTTGTCCATACTGTTTCCTGAAAATGTAGTGTATATCTTCAAATTATGTAGTCAAGGGTCTGAAGTGCAGAATATGTATTATTCTATGGTTATTAAAACAAAAATCCTAGATCTGGTGTTGATGATGCATCTGAAGCATGAAACTAGGTTAGTGTGTACTTTTACTTTGAAGACATTAGGGGCTTTTTACCCTGTTGTAAAGGGCTCATTGGTTATTCAGTGTAGCAACACATTTCCCATGCAAGGAAGTCAAAGAAGTTAAGGATTATGCTTTGAAAAGAAGTGAATTTGCATTAGCAGTTCACTGGCTTCAGGTTTGTTGGTGCATGCTTTTATTTATTAATATCAAGCATTAAATGTACCTTTGCATTGAAGAATGCACCAAAAATGATAGTTTAACTCTGGGTGATGGCCAAACATATTACAATATTTTTTGCCATATCATGCGATAATATTTATCACAATAATATTTTACCATTAATGGGGAAGGAAATGCTTTTCACATGTTTGTTAGACCTTGAGAATGAATGTAAACTTTTCACATTTAACTTCCACAGAGTAAGCTACCTATTAAATTTCTTGATTCTGTGATTAATACAAATTTATCATCAAAAATTGTGTCTAACAGGAGGGTCATAAGGGTCGGCACACATTTGCGGATTAATTGCAGTTTAACCATCATAGACTTAAATTTTATCATTTGTACGTGTTTTGTCTTGCCAGTTTACACATTCAAGTGATTTTAAAACCATTCCAGTGCAAGAAGAGCAAAAAAGAACTCAATTCGCTACTTGCGCAGAGTTTTTGCAAGCACAGCTGCACACACAGAGGCACTTTTGGTTATGTCTTGAGTTAAGGTGAGCAGTTGAGAAAAAAATCAGATGTGCATCATTATATTGGATCTTTGCATCTGGCCTTAAAGTGACAGCAGCCTATAAATACCTGCTGCTGTCTGTGTCATTAATGTTAATCAAACAACAAAACACAACTTTAACAAAGATTAATCTGTATTTAATTTATACAGTGAACACTATAGTGTTATTTTCCATTTAGGCCCATAATTATTACATTTCTGTACGTGAATACTGTTAGACCTTACTTTATTAGTAACTTTGTTTGTACTTGTCTGTGCTTATAATTTGTGTATTTGTTCTTATTTTTTACTGGCTGTTCACTTGCCTTTAATACCATTAGTTAAAGTACTTAAAGTGTGCTAAGTAATAAATGGAAAGCAAAGTTACATTAATCCATAAAGATAAAAATGTCCAGAGCTTATCATTGTTACATTTTATTATGATCTTGATATGATATTGTTTATTTTTCAGCCCTATTAGAAAGAAGGGTTGTGACGGTGATAAAATTTTCGTTAATCGACGTGAGACAACACCGGTAATACCAGTAAAACCGGGAGGGGGGGGGGGGGCTTGGGTTCGTTGGGGTTTTCCTTCTTTCCCTCGCTTTCCTTTGCTTTTAAATAGCTCACTCTCCTCAGGTGATAAATGAAATCTGACTCCTGCTGCTGATCTGTGGTGCGACTGTCATTCGGCATGCTGCATTGAGCAGCTACGTACAGTTTTTAATTGTAGTGTCTGTTCTCTAACTGAACTAAATGATTTTTATTACTATAAAAAAATCAAAACGACGGTGAGGCGGCTGTGCTCGGTGGGCAAGTGATGTAACCAGTGTTGCGGCTTAACACAGGTTACACCATCAACACCGACTATCGCAGCAAGCCTATTAGCTAGCCATGTATTACTATTAAGTGGCTGTTTCCTGCATGCTTATTTGCTCATTTTGGTTAGTTAATTGCAGGTAGTAAGAGAGAGCATTTGCGTCTTATTTTCCTGTATCAACTGTAACTTACTGTAAATGGAATGGACAGTTTAAAGTGCAACAAATAAGAATGAGAATTACAAAATCACACAATAGCTTCTCAATAATAGGAATATTTACTCGAAGAGCTTGTGCAGTTATATACAAATCTTGTTGCTTTATACATAGATACTTAAGTTCACTTTTATCGCTGTGTCCTTTAGATGAACCTAAATAGTATTTTGGATACAATTTTGTTTGCATGCCCTGCAGTATTTCTGTACCTGCAGCGCAATCCTCACTAAAGGGTCTCAGACAGTTCACTGCAAAAAAATAAACAGGCTGAATTTGATCTGCAATTTGAAGCTAGCATATCACGTCACATTAGAAGTGGACTTTCACAATCAACAATCAATTTCCCTGACATCTTGTTATTTTTTCCCCTCCCCACCATCCCCGTTTCTTGAACTTCCACCATTTCACGAAACCTCTCTTTTGTCTGTTCTGTCAGGGCTGGCTTTGGCCTCAAGAAGCCTCTAAAGATGAATATGGTGAAGAGGATCATGGGGAGGCCGCGGCAGGAGGAGTGCAGCCCACAGGACAACGCACTGGGACTCATGCACCTGCGCCGTCTCTTCTCCGAGCTCTGCCACCCGCCGCGCCATATGACACAAAAAGAGCAGGAGGAGAAGCTCTACATGATGCTGCCTGTTTTCAACCGGGTGAGAGAGAGAGAGAGATGGCTGTTTACATAAGAGACAGCATCATCATCGTGTAATATGCATCAGGATAATGCAATTTATAAAAAAAAAATAAATAGAGGCCGACGGATGGTAGAGAGACTTCTGAACAGTACAGCTTCACCAGCCAAAATGCATTAACAGAGAAGACAAATATAATAGACATCATTGTATTGCACTGCTAGTGCTAAATCACCCCTGGTGGCTTTGTTGTTGTTTTTTTGTTACCATTAAATGTAAGGTTAGAGTATGATTAGTGATGATTACTAGCTCAGCTGGGCCAATAGATCAGATTTCTACTCGCCCTGCTAATATTTTCAATGGCCCCACAAAAAAAACAAAGGTTAAATTTAGATCATATGCATTTTGCTGGAAAATCACAAAAAAACAAAAGAAAACAACAACTCTATACTACAATTCAAATGTTTTTTGGGCTGCCATTTGGGCTCAAGGATGCATTTAATTGATCAAAACTGGCATTAAAGACTTTTACATTGTTAAAAAAGAACAGTTTAAAAAAAATGCTTTTGATTTTTTTTTTTATTCATCAAAGAATCCTAATAAAATGTATCACAGTTTTCACAAAAATATTAAGCAGTACTACTATTTTCAGCATTGTTAATAATAAGAAATATGTCTTGAGCAGCAAATTAGCATATTAGAATGATTTCTGAAGGATCATGTGACACTGAAGACTGCTGAAAATTCAGCTTTGCCATCACAGGAATTAACTACATTTTAGAATATATAAAATGGCTATTTAAAATTGTAATAATAATTTCACTTTACTGTTTTACTATATTTTTGATCGAATAAATGCACCCTTGATGAGCATAAGAGCCTTTCTAAAACATTAAATTATCTTACCGATGCTAAACTTACAGTAGTGTACGTGTGTGTGTACATGTACATGTGTATATATAGTCAATAAATTTCATAGAACGTAAGAACCTTAAAACATTTTCTTCTTTTACAGACAAATCACTAGATTCTCCTGAATAAAAAATAATAAATCCCTGTCTTTAAGCCAAATTATTCACACTATACTTACTGTTAAACTTCAACAATAAGAAGAAGAGAACCAGCAGTTACAAGTGCTTCATTTACAAAGGCAAAGTAGTCGTTATGCCATCAAGAGACTCTCATAGGCTGGAGAAGAGCATGATGGTGCTAATCATCCAGCATTGATTATACAGAAACATTGCATATGACCTCAGCTACAGCTCATCATTGTGCATGAAAGAGCACTGCCCTGCTGCAGCCTGTGTGCATTTGGAGAGCACTTGTAGAAGTGGGATGAAACAGGCTCTCTATGTACAAGCTGACATATTTGATGAAGTGTTATAGACCCATATGAAATGCTGCATATTAGCATGAACACCGCAGTATGTCTCTCTTGATTTAGATTTCTTCAAACAGCAAGAGACCTGACAATCTGGATTTGAATATGACAATCTTTCACCTCTTATAACTGTTTGTGCTTTATACTAACTTGATTGGACACTCAGTTGCTGCTATGAAAGCCAAATAACACTATAACTGAGCATACTGCTCTTCAGACATCAAGGGAGTGACTGTTGATTAAACCTCAGCTTTAACTCAACAGGTTCCCATCTTTGTAGAGGGAAAAAAGGTCTGCATGAAAAGAAGGTTGTTTGAGCTCTGTAAATGGTGTTTGTGTGTGTGACAGGTGTTTGGGAACGCTCCACCGAACACAATGAATGAGAAGTTTTCAGACCTGCTGCAGTTCACCACTCAAGTGTCCAGGCTGATGGTGACTGAGATCAGACGGAGAGCGTCCAATAAATCCACAGGTACTTCAACTTCAAACTACTCGAAGATCCTGGGTATTCTGTTAACACACAAGTATATATTACACAGACCTGGTCCGATCTATTTCATTGTAAGAAAAAATTGTTAGCATGACAAAAGTCATGACAGAATCAGTTATTTTTGAAGCTTAAAGTAAACATTAAAATTCTACCACACTTACTTTTTTTTTTTTAATGGATGCTAAACTTAGTTTTTTCTTATTTTGTCTGGCTACTTTCTGATATGTAATGCTGACTTTTCCCAATCTATTCAATTCCTGATAGATTAAAACAAGTCGCACGCTTTTTTTTCCTCTCGTTTTTATATATTATTTAACTCAGAATTTGGACGTTATATATTTTTTTAATCATGCCATATGACTTACACAAGGTAACAAGTTTAGAACAACAAGAACAATAAAAATAAGACAAACACCATAAAAACAATAAAATAACCAAAACCAAAAGCCAGAGGGAAATAAAAAATTGGATAATTAAAATTAACAATAAATTATGGTTTAACATCGAAAGCAATTTTTGACTTTTCAAAGATTTTTGTTTTTGTTTTTTTATGTCCATCAAAGACAAACATATGAATTATAGTCTATAAGAAAAATTGACAATAGCGGTTTCTTACCCAAAAGTTTGCATTTGTGTATAAAAAAGTTGCCAAGTATAAACATAAGTTAAATTGTTTGCAAATAGCAATTCACACTGATGCTAAAAATATATAGATATTTTTTTTACATTTTTTATTTAATTTTTATTTTAAAAGTGACTTAATATAAGTTGTATCCACTATTTATAAATAAGTTTTTATAGACATTACATAGACATAAAAGTTTTGTTCCTGAAGAAGTTTATACTTGTTATACTTTTATACCTGCTTATACTTGTGCGTTCTTGCTTTGATCAGTGAGGAAGACTCAGTCTGGGCTTTATGGTCTCTGACTTACTCTGCTGTCAACACAGTGTGTATTGGCAGCTTGTCTTGGCACATGATGTACCGTAATGTTTATTTTTGGTGATGTAATCCACCGTGACCGCATATGCTGCATAGATCCACAAACACCAGACTGAGCATCTTATGACACAAAGGAGTAAGTGCTTAGGCATTTTAGTTTCTTTTATACCATTTATTAAGCATCTTGTGCTTTTTAGTTTTTTTTGCAAACTATTGTCATAATACTGATACAATGAAAAGCATAATGTAAAACGTTAATATTGTATCTATTCTATATGAGATTTATTTTATTTTTAATGACATTTGATTTCAAAATGTCATTATATGATTACATTTTCGTTGGAGCAGAAAACAACATTCTTCTGAGTAAATCTTATCCTTTGTGAATTCACTGAGGTGTCACGATATTGCATCTCAAAAACAGGCAGCGATGGATGAATGAGAAACGAAACTGCCTGCATGTCATCACCTCTAATTGACTCAGCGTCCTTCCCCAGATGAGGCCAGTCACACACAAGCTGACGTGTGAAAATGGATTTGATCCACATGCGCAGACTGTTTAATGCGTCAGTGATTCTGTTTGTGTGTGTGCTCCTCCCACAGAGGCGGCCAGCAGAGCCATTGTGCAGTTTCTGGAGGTAAATCAGAGCGAGGAGGCGAGCCGGGGCTGGATGCTCCTGACCACCATCAACCTGCTGGCCTCCTCAGGACAGGTCTGTGTGTTTAATGTGCAGCAGATGAAACGATCACAAGACGCATTTACAAATGCACTAGAAAAATATATACAGACATAAATACAGACACCATTTGTTTAATGTTTTCTTTGAATTAACTCTTTTTTTATCCTCACCCAGGCTGCATTTATTTGATCAAAAATACAGTAAAACAATAATATTGAGAAATATTTAAAGTAACTATTTACTATTCAGCTACCAAAATTGTATTCTACCAAAATAATTGCACGTTTTTTTGGAATTTCAAGAAAACAGAATTGTCCCATGGTATGCCAGTACCTAGCGTATGAAAAATATACTCGAAAACTGTGTTTGGAAACCAGCCATGCTAGGTTGGCCTTTCAGCACCCGGCACTTGTTCATACTATCAGCGGCTCTATTGCTTAAATCTAGAAACAGCAGTTGTAGTTTGTTGAGTGGCGCATTAAATATCGCATGCGATTTATCGTGCAGCCCTAGTGTGCTTGGTTCACAGCTGAGCAAGACCCCTTATGTCGAGGTGCACAGACCTCGGTTATCAGAGAGAGAAACGGCCTTCTCCTAGATCGAGAAACTGGAGAACTTCATGGTGGATGTAAGGATTAGTATGGTGACATTTCCTTAAGTATGTTTTTAGCCCGTGATGGATTTGACCAAGAGCAGGAGAAAGGAGGAATATTCCTCACTCTATAGTGAAAGATGGCTTCTCCAACAATGGTCGCAGACCTGAAGACTGAACTTCCAGCTTGTGGCGATGTGAGGATGGTGTCATGGAGGATATGTTTCTCAGACTATTGATTGCTCAAGCCTACACAGCTTGAGGCCATGATTACCAAGTCATGGGTCACTTTGAAGCCCAGTTTGAAGTGAAAAGTTGTGGTCAGTTACACACCACATAAATGATCTCCAATTACTAGTTGTTTTTCTCACCCTGAAGCACTTCCTCTCTGTATTGAGAGGCCAACATGTATCGATCACACAGACAATGCGCCTGTCATGTCATTCATTAGATGAGGAAGGACTGATCCCACTCTCATCCAAAGCTCTTTGAAGTCAGTCAACGGAATAAAGGTGCAGATTTCCCGGCCAGGGGAGGTCATTATGTCAGGAACTCTTGACTAAGTGCCCAAAGTGTATCTCATATATTAGAGCACTTTGATTTTATGCATCACAATGAGAATCTATGACATCTCATGAAATCTATTTATTAGCAGCTGGTGCTATTTTCTATGTCTTTTACAGTGCATTGTGGGGGTTACAGTATAGCCATGCCATGTAGTAGTAAATGGTTTCCGGGTACTCTTGTGTATTTACTCTGTTAGAAGGGCATGTTTACCTCATGGGCATTATTAAAGGGCTGTCTGTGGATGTCCCATAGTCATGTGTTGTATTGACTGAATGGGAATGTTGTAACTACTGTTCCCATAAGAATAAAAACCATTTAAGTTCTTTCGCTTATGAAAAGTGCTGTGGCAGTACCATGGTACAGCCATGAACATGATATTCACATACTCCAAGGTGATTCAAATAATAATTCCTCAAATGTTCACCAACGCTGCATTTATTTGATAAAAAAAACAGTAATATTGTGAAATATTATTGTGATTTAAAATATGCTTTTTTATTTTAATACTTTTTAAAATGTCATTAATTCCTTTGATGGAAAAGCTGAATATTCAGCACCATTACTCCAGTCTTCAGTGTAACATGATCCTTCAGAAATCATTCTTCACAACAAAAGTGTGTATGCTATTTTAATTAGCCCTTTTTTAATGTTCATGTCTCCTTGTGATTTTGTAAGGTTATTTTCCTGCAGTGCAAGTTGTTTGTGTTGGCCTGTTTTAATAAAGTAGGATCTCATTAATTGGCTGAAGTTTTACCAACATGCTCAAATCTCTTTTAAGTCTGTTGTTAGCTCTAATTTTATTTTGGTTCATATAATCCTTAAGGATCATTTACCTCGATAAGACACTGAAAAGAACTTGTGCACATAAAGATGGAATGCAGAAGTGTAGATTTCCTGTGGCCTAATAAGTGCCCTTTCTCTTACACACACACACACACACTGTCTATTTTTACTTTTTCTACTCCCTCTTTCTGCTTTACTAAGAATATATAATGAAAACACTTTCTTGTGTATATGCTGATAAAATCTCCATGCTGCTATGCACATAAAACACATTTCCACCACCTAAATGCAGACCTCTTGAAATGCGTATCCAGTGATATGGCACAATTTAGAGCTTGTCATAATCCAGAGGATGAGCTTGAATTAATTGGACATGCACCATTATCTTTTCAGGCAGGAGGCTCTAGTTTTGAGAGGTGAAACATGTTTTTGAGGGGTGAAATATGTTTGTATTCTAAGCTGTGAGTTGCAGGCATAAACTGGTGCTCTTGGCAACACCCCCCGCCCCTCAGAAACAACAAAGGTCTTTTCTTTTCTCTCTGTAAGGACGCCCTTCATGCTCTACATTCCCAATGCACCCTCAATTCACCCTCACAGACGTCGTCTCTTATGTCTCATCGTCCCCCACGTTGATGGTCTGCGAGAAGTCCTCCTGCTCGTTCCCTCTTCTGTTGGGGTTTTTCTGTCTGACATCATCATTTAGCGACCACATTGTCCACTAGCATAGCTTCAGTGTTGAGGTTATCTACCACAGAGGGAGTTATTTCGAGTCTTGACCGTCGGCCATAACGGTCCAACTGGTTCAGTTTCTCTCACACATGGACCTTTTGCCTAGGAGGCTTTATTAGTGTAACCGTCTTTAAAGGGGTCATATGATGCGATTTCATGTTTTCCTTTGTCTTTGGAGTGTTAAAGGGATAGTTCACCCAAAAATGAAAATTCTGTCATTAATTACTCACCCTCATGTCGTTCCAAACCCGTAAGATCTTCGTTCATCTTCGGAACACAAATTAAGATATTTTTGATGAAATCTGAGAGCTCCCAGACCCTCCCATAGACAGCAACGCAACTGTAATGTTCCCAGGTCCAGAAACGTAACGTAGCAAAACTGAAGTTGAGCCACTGGTGTCACATGGACTGTTTTACCGTTGTCCTTACTACGTTTCTGGACCTAATTTGTTTTCCGAAGATGAACGGAGTTCTTACGGGTTTGGAACGACATGAGGGTGAGTAATTAATGACAGAATTTTCATTTTGGGGTGAACCAACCCTTTAAAAGCTGTTTGTGCATACAGAAGATCAAAAAAGTCGCAAAGATTAAAGTCTCAAACCCAAAGAGATATTCTTTATAAAAGTGAACGTTCAGCCACGCCTTCCTAAAACACCTCGTTAAAACACGCCCACATATCTACGTCACGATGTGGGAAGATTTGCATAACACTGCCCAAATGTATATGCAAAGAAAGAAGGTGTAACTTTTATTCTCACTGTAGTATTGTTGCCAACGCCGTCATGTCATGGAGACGCTGTGTGTTTCACTGTGAAAGCCAAACTACTTTGTTTGGCCTTCCAACACAACTAGAAATCAGTGGTTAAGTTTTCTGTTGCAGAACAGTACAACCCAAATATTCGAGTGTGTGCAGCGCATTTTATGGAAGAAAGTTTCCTGGACCTGGTAAAAATACACAAAATAATGTTCTTTTTAGCAACGTCATTTGACCCCTTTCATTTTTTTCCAAAACCTCTTAATTGAATGTAAGAGACTATTAATGTTGCTAAATAGTGGGTGTTTTGATTTGACAGAGAGTGGTATGATTTATTTTTTGTGCACGTAATGTGTTTACTGGAATGAAAATGCAGAAGTGATTCATCTTCTGTTTCGCTCTCTCATTCTTATGAAAGCAATGAATGTGACATCCATGCATCCTCCATTAAGGCTTGGCACTGCTGGCACTGATTCTTTGGCATTTTCTTAAGACCTGTTCACACCAAGATAAC